AGGTGGATCCATTCTTTTCTATCAAATCGTACGATATCCACCCGTGTAGGGGACAAGGTTTCGAACATGTGTGCACCCGAGGATGGAATCCCACAGAGGTCGGCCTTGAGCTGCACCATGTTCCGGGGGACGTGTATGACCTGCAGACACTCTTGGTAACAAAGAATGCAATGTTCGCGGATGGTTTGTGTATTTGGATCTATAGCAAATCCATACAGCAATGGCAGAGCCAAGATACAAGATTTGGACCGAAAAAAGGATGATTGGTGGTGAATGCGGAGAAGACCGTGTATACATTATTTACCAATGGAAAGGATTTCCTTAAGGAGAATATCGATCTCCAAATCTATGGGAAACGCTCAATCGGGACAAGTCACCCACGTATTTGGGAGTGAAGTTGGACCAAAAACTCCAATTGCATAACCACGTACGTGAAATCGGCGTAGGAGCCACGTCTAAACTCAGCCTTATTAAAAAACTTGCAAGCACCACCCTGGAAGCTGACGCAAAGCTCTTGTGAACACTGTATCTCGGGAGCGTAAGAGGTGAAATGGACTACAGCCTCCTGTTGCAAGCCTTCGCAAGCCTTACGGGTCTAGAGGGATTGCACCAGATACAGAATCTTGCTCTCAGATTCATATGCGGGGCGCTACGAACTACACCCACGGCCGCCGTGGAAATTATCTCAGACATAGAACCCCTCCACATCAGGAGGGACAAGGCTATTCTAAAGACAGTAGAGCGTTACCGTCACATGGAAAGAACTGAACACTGTTTCCAATTACAAGATCTCTGGGTAAGGCGGACAAGGCTTAAAAGACCTTCTTTTATGATGCGGACGATTCACTCGAGAACAAGCACCCTTTACCGGGAAACAGGGAGAAATTACGCCTGATCCAGAACAGATCACCACAGGATGGCGGTGATCTGACCCTGAGAAACACGGTGGTTAACAAGTCAAGTCCCCAAAGTTAGCGAAAGAGGCCGCACTTGAGACGATTGAGGCTTATAAGGACGGCAAGGTCTCAGTCTTTATAGACGGCTCCTATCTCACCAGCGAGAAGCGGGCAGGTTAGGCGCACTCGCACTCATACAGTACCCAAAGAGGAGACCCCAAACAGAGGAGATTTCAGCCCCAAGCGGCACGAATAGCTCTGCAAGAGATGCAGACATCGGAGCTATATTAATGGGCCTGAAACAAGTGCGCCGTTGGCTAGCCGGACCCAAAACACTTCCATCCATCGTAGTGTTCACCGATTCACAATGTGCTCTAGAAATTGTGAAACAGCGCTCTTTGGACACGAAGATGGCACAAGCAATACTGGAGCTCATACGAGACATACGGTCTCACGGAAGCACAGTGACCCTTCAATGAATCCCAGAACACGCGGGGATCCACCCCTCCCAGACAGAGCTGACTTTCTTGCGAGGCAACGCTCTTCCCAGCCTCAACGTAACCGACCAATGAACCAACTGGGGTTCAAAGCTTAGATCAAAGACCTCTTCCACGAGGAATGGATCAAAGAATGGGAACAGTGTACAACTGCTCGGAAACTTTACCGCAGCATGCCAAAAAAAAAACGAAAGGGTGGGGTCCACCAGCAGAGCCTCATCACCCAGATGAGAACAGAGCATTGCCCTACCCGTAGCTACCTGAATAGGTTGCACCCACTGCGGGACCCGAGCTGCCGCTATTGTGGACAGGTGCCGAAGACAGTAGAGCACCTTCTAGCCGAGTGCTCGAAATTAGCGACTGCTGTGAATGGGGTGCTCCCAGCCAAACACTTCGAGAGCCTGATGGGACTGCCCAGCAGATGAGGCAGGCCTGTTCCAAACTTGCCGGGGCAATCAAAGAGCAATAGCTCGGTCCCTTACAGTGAATGTAATATTTCAGAGGCCAGTGTTCGTTAGTTGATAGTGAGAGTTGAGCCGATGAGTCGGAGTTAGCGAAATGAGCTGAGAGCAGTTAGAGAGTGAGGAGAGAGTCGAGGGTTATTATTATCTTCATTGAAAGTTGTGAACTGACATCTGATGTGATTGGATCCTGTAAATAAAGAATTGTTATTTTTATCTTCATTGGACGCTGTGGTTTTGCTCATTATTTTGGACCTGGTGAGACAGGCAAGTTAAACATACTTGATATACAGTTGTCACCCTAGACCCTGGATGACGTAGGCCGTAGACGACGTAGGCCCTAGACGACGTAGGCCCTAGACGACGTAAGCCCTAGAAGACGTAGGCCCTAGAAGACGTAGGCCCTAAACAACGTAGGCGTTAGACAACGTAGGACCTAGACGACGTAGGGTCTCTCCAACTGCCGGGCTGTAAATGTTTCTACTGGTTTACATTCGTAATCATTGGTGAAGACAATGAAAGAAGACCGTAACATCTGAAGGACCCTGGACAACGAAAGTAGGCCGCAACAATAATATTGTGTATTTTTTTTTTAATATTTACACTATATTATGTGTCAAATACTTAACTAATAAATGAATATTACCCCCCCCCCAAACAAAAAAAAATTACAACAACAAAAAAAAACAACCCAATCCTTCCAAAAAGATTGCCATTATACAAAAGGCAATGTTAGCATCATGTTACATTTTGAAAGCAAATTAAAAAAAATAATAAAATCGGTATAGTAATTACCTTTTACCAAAGTTTTCCAAGTTTCACCAGAGGTAAAAAGAAAAAAAATGTTTAGTATAAGTTTTATATATTTTTATGACTTTTGAAAACGTGTCATTTTTTTATTTTTTTACATCGCAGTTACAGGATTAATCATGTCAAGAAGACATTAGATGAATTCCAAAGACGTCATATATTTATTTTATTTGTATTTATTTTTTAGGAAATGATATAAAACATGCTTTGAATTTCCAAATTATCAGTAGAATGAAATGTTTATTTAGAATTTCAATCTATCTTAACTTTCTTCCGGTAAATGTCCTCATAGATATACTTTAAGACGTCTAGTTTGGTAACCAAATCACAGAATTTAGTTTTGATTTGAAATTAAGAAAGAAGATTCTTTTCTGAGACTAGTAGCAGCAAAAACGGAATTGTCCTGATAATCGAGATGCTAGTTCACAAATACATTTGTATCAGATTTCTAATGGATTCTCATTAAAAAAATAAATGCGTGCACATTGTTCCTTATTCTGATATTTAACAGAGAAAATCATTTGGGAATTTATTAAATATATTTTAAGAATTTAAAGAACAAAACAAAAACTCTTGTTATTCAGGAAACTGTGTTACAAAAAAGAAGTGCTGTTACGTAATGTCCTCAATATGGAGAAATTAATCTCTTATTTAAGTGTAGGGCTCGCTCTAAAAAAAAAATACATAAAAAAAGACGATAACATAAGAGAAATAAAATAGGAAAAAAATGTGATACTCAAATCAGGATGAATTACAACTAATAAGTTTAATTAAGCTACTAATAAATTACTAAATCAAAAAAAAAATATATAATTAAATGTTAATGACGTACAGAATACTGGTTTGCTTGTACCGGTACAATGTTGATGAAAAGACAATGTGAAAAAAGGGTACGATCATGAAATGAAATCTGCACACACACACACACACATTGTAAACAAAATAGCTCTCGTCTCGTAAAGCAAAAAAATATCTCGGTTTTACTCATATTTATAGAACCGCCTTTCGCATCGTTTTCATTTCCAGTTTTCTGCAGATTCTTCTAGAAAATTCTTAGGATACAAGACTATCAATTTTATTGAGTTGAAAGCAAGGTCAGGAGAGACAATTTCTAGCTAGCCAAATCCTAAATGCGGTGACGAGGTAGCTTGGTGTCAGCTACAGTTCATGGCGTAAACACGTCGTCTCCATAACAAGTATACTTAAAGAAAACATAAACTCTATTGCTTTAATAGCAATTAATAAAACCTGCACTAGGCCTATTTGTATGCGCCTTTTAAATTGTTAATTTGTGGATAAACACATTTTTAATGTGTTGATAAACAAATTGTTAATTTGTGAATAAACAAATTACCATTTTTAAATATTTTTTTTTCATTTTATTTAGCCCAACATACATGGAATCTAGTACATTTAAATTGTTCTAAAATGAACTATATTTTACAAAGCATGAGGCTATCGTACAATTTACAACTAACACCTATCAATAATTTAAAAGTGATGCTTTAAAATGAAAAAGAATTTGAAAACAGATTACAGATGTTTGATATTTAAGAAGTACATAATTTTTTTATCAATTCATATTGATGTAAGGGTAGTTTAATACCGTATTATTAAAGTCTTAAAACTTATGAAGTTTCAATTAAATAAATAAATTTTAAAAAATCCATATATGCTTACAACGAGGAAGTAAGAATTCGCCTTATACTCAGGAATAGTCAATTTCAGTTGGTTAGTTGTAATCGAATATACAAGCCTCCAACAAGTGAATCACTAAATTAATAAATCTATATTTAGTAAAACACTAAATTAGTCAAGTAATGTTTAATTAAATTAGTAAATTAATGTTTACTGCAAAACTAAATTATTAAATCAATCTCTAGTGAATACCTAAATTAGTAAATCAGCATTTAGTGAAACAATAAATTAGTAAATTATATTTTATTGAAACACTTAATTATTAAATCAATGTCTAGTGAATCACTAAATTAATTAGTCAAAGCTTTGCGAAACACTAAATTGGGAAATCAATGTTTTTTTCATGAAACACTAAATTAGTAGATCAAAGTTTCGTGAAACATTAATTGGTACATGGCTCATTGAAATTTCAAAAGTGCCTCCCCTCAACCCCCCCCCACACACACACACACTCCACCAACACCGTTAAACCTCACGATATTATTTCCCCCCCCCCCCCCGCGTTGTCAAGAGATGTCGGGCTTACAAACACTTGGGCTTTAGTTGACACAGGTACAGATCTCCAACGCTTGCGCCATACGACTCCAGCACATAGACCACGAGACGCTGATCCCGGATAAGCCTTCACATCTAAGGGAATTCTGGTCTCCTCGAATCTTCGGCCCAGCTTCCGAATCAGAAGCAGAAAACAGTTCCTTGGTATTTTGTTAGTGCGTTTGTTTGGTTGTTTCTTTGTTTTGTGGTGTTTTTTTTTAAATTTAGGAGAGCATATTGATGAAGAAATGATGGGATTTGTGCATTTCTCGTGCTTCAACAAGTTAACTTGATATCGTCATTTCACCTTCCGATTCTTCGGGGCTTATTGTAGTATGGTTTTGGCGGGGAAGCTCGTCTCTCACCTCAGGGAAGTAAATATGTTTTTCAAGGTTAGTAATTTATTTCTCTCTCTCTCTCTCTATATATATATATATATCTTTCTCTCTCTCTGTCTCTCTCTCTCTCTCTCTCTCTCTCTCTCTCTCTGTGTCTCTCAATGTACAAAATATGTACAACTGAATGTGAACTTTTATTAAAGTTAAAGAAAACATTTTTGTAGCATATTCCTCTCTCTCTTTCTCTCTCTCTTTCTCTCTCTCTTTCTCTCTCTCTCTCTCTAAATATATATATATATATATATATATATATATATATATATATATTTTTATATCAGTAATTTTATAAATATTAGTTATGACAAAGGCGAAGCTGGTGGTGAAAAGGGAAGGGGGGAGGGCATTTTCTCTCTATAGATCAGTAATTTAATAAATATTAGTTAAGCCAAAGGCGAAGCTGGTGGTGAAAAGGGAAGGGGGGAGGGCATTTTCTCTCACCAGACGTCAGCCTAACAGGGATCCCAAAAAAAAAAAGGATTCGATTGTAATTTGTAGATTGAAGTAATTGCAGTGGGGACCCACATGTTTATCTTGCCGATGGCCGTGAGACACACTAGCTACGCCTCTGCTTTCAGCAAACTCGTTTAACGTTCTAGCTACGCCTCTGCTTTCAGCAAACTCGTTTAACACTCTAGCTACGCCTTTGCGTTCAGCAAGCTCATTTAAAACTCTATCTAGGCCTCTGCATTAGGCAAACTCGTTTAACACACTAGCTACGCCTCTGCTTTCAGCAAACTCGTTTAACACTCTAGCTACGCCTCTGCGTTCAGCTAACTCGTTTAACACACTAGCTACGCCTCTGCATTAGTCAAACTCGTTTAACATTCTAGCTACGCCTCTGCGTTCAGCTAACTCGTTTAACACTCTATTGGCATAAATTTGTGGCATAAATTTTCTACCACGATCCATAAAAAATGAGGAAAGAATAAAATTGTTTTAAGGCTTATGCACATCCTTTTTTTCGCAAATATGTCTGTTTCTTGAATGCCTAAGGTGACGACATCACTTCTGAATCTTACCTGACCCGATCTCGTTTCACATAACCAAGTTTTGCCACCTTTTTAACATTTGAACTTCAGAATGTCCTCCTCCCCCCCCCCCCCCCCCCCCCCCCCCCCCCCCCCCCCCCCCCCCCCCCCCCCCCCCTCACCCCCCCCCCACACCTTCAGAATGTCCTCCTCCCCCCAGCCCCCCCCCCCCCACCCCCCCCCCCACGAACACACACATGTTTATCTAGATACGACGAAGCGTTCTTTGGACTTGATACACAGTGTCAACATAGGTTTCTGTTTGTGATGTCCGGGTCACAAGACTCATGATTAAAAATTTTCTAATGGATTCTAATCAACATTTTTGACTCACTGCAGATTTTGTTCATTATGGTACATTTCCATTATTTTAAAAAATTGTTTTGCGTTGTTTATCTTCTTATGGTCGTAGGAATAAGTGAAGTAATTAAAGTCTTTGAAGAATATTTATTTCTGTTTAGATAATGTTTAAAACTTAAAAGTTGATGAACGAAATTTTTTTTTCTTTAATGTGTTTTACCTCAAACAATATGAGGTAGATCTATAGGGATCCCATCACAAGGGCTAGAGGCATTGGTCCCATCATTAGTTCTGAATACATTCGTACCATCATTAAGGCTGGATGCATTCGTATCATCATTAGGGCTGACATATTCGTCCAATCATTGTGCCTGGATGCATTCGTTCAGTAATTATGGTTGGATGCGTTCGTCCCATCATTAGGCTTGGATACATTCATCCCATCGTTAGGGCTGGATGGATTCGTCTCAGCATTAAGGCTGGATGCTTTTTCCCATCATTAAGGCTCGATACATTCGTCCCATCATTGGGGTTGGATACATTCGTCCCCAGTCCCCAGGTGTAAGTGGGAACAGTTAGTTTAACAAAGAAACATCAGCAACCCCCACCCCCCCTTTTTTTTTTCCACCTTCCCGTACGTTTCAAGTCCTAATTGTATTTTGGTTAACACATCATTCAAAAACCCGGTCGATACACGCAGTGTCGCGTGTAGGTGACTAATATTGTTTGTGGTAGTAGGCAGGGGGGTATTCATAAAAGAAATGGTGCTGGGTTTCTTTATAGGTGGCATCCCAGACAAATCGTACTCATTATTTTAAGCTATGCAGAATCGCATGACTGTCATGTTATCATAGCATCTAGTTATAAAGGACTTCATATAACACCAACCAACAGATGCGGTGACATCGGCTGTTTTGCGAAAATTTCCAGTAAGATCTGATCAACAGGAGATCATCCTTGGGTCATACACATAATGTCACCCTATAAAACAAAAGAAAAATGATGCATTAACGTGGTCACTATTTTTATGAGACAGGACAGCCATGTTGACATTGACATGTGTCAAAGCGGCGATCTGGTGCGCAGACACTGGACCAGTAACATAAGGGCGCAAGCAACATTTAAACATCTTGGAGATTTTCTATATACTCCAGATGGAAATAACAAGTGATCATTTTGTATATATATCCGTGTAGGAGAAGGGGGAGGAGGGGGGCTGGCGAACTGTAGAGTTTTTTCGTGGTTGGGGAGGGGGGCGGGGTCTGCACAACTCAAGGTCCGCTTCGGGTGATCCAAACTCTAACTACGCCACTGCATAGGTGTATGCTCAAGGCTACATGCCTAGATTCTGCATTGGTGCAATACACTTAAAAATATATTTATAGCCAAAACCAGGTGTGTAAAATAACCCTTCACAGTCTTTGCCCCCAGTCGTAAATGGCGCGTCTAGACTGTTAACTGTTTTCTGAGCTGGATGCACAACATTATCTCATGACACGTGTCGCTATTTCAGGGCCTCACATTTAGGTTAGTCCTTCAGAGCGTCGTCATTACAACTCTACTCTATACAGTTCACGGGAAAGGTAAGTTGAACTTTAGACAATCAATTTTTACCTAGAGTTTTTAAAGTGCGCCTCAACGTACAGTCTTATTTGAATTATATCTATTTCTTCTTATCTTAAATACTTCTTATCTTCATGTCTTCTCATCTTCATTTCTTATTATCTTCATTTCTTATTATCTTCATTTCTTCTCATCTTCATTTCTTATATCTTTATTTCATTTTATCTTCATTTCTTGAATCTTCATTTCTTTTTATCTTCATTTCTTATTAGCTTTATTTCTTTTTATCTTCATTTCTTAAATCTTCATTTCTTTTTATCTCCATTTCTTATTAGCTTCATTTCTTTTTATCTCCATTTCTTATTAGCTTTATTTCTTTTTATCTCCATTTCTTATTAGCTTTATTTCTTTTTATCTCCATTTCTTATTAGCTTTATTTCTTTTTATCTTCATTTCTTAAATCTTCATTTCTTTTTATCTTCATTTCTTAAATCTTCATTTCTTTTTATCTTCATTTCTTAAATCTTCATTTCTTTTTATCTCCATTTCTTATTATCTTCATTTCTTTTTATCTCCATTTCTTAAATCTTCATTTCTTTTTATCTTCATTTCTTAAATCTTCATTTCTTTTTATCTTCATTTCTTATTATCTTCATTTCTTTTTATCTCCATTTCTTAAATCTTCATTTCTTTTTATCTTCATTTCTTATTATCTTCATTTCTTTTTATCTTCATTTCTTTTTATCTTTATTTCTTTTTATCTTCATTTCTTATTAGCTTTATTTCCTTTTTTTAAACTGGTTACATAAACAGGGTATGGATTTAAAGAGAAAAAAAAATCTATTTTCTTTTTAAATGTACAAAATGCTTTATTAAATTGAATGACGAGTGCATGGGGCAAACACATAAGATTAGTGTTTTTAGTTAGAATGAACATAATTGTCCATGGTACAACGTTGAATATCAGTCCATACTAAAGTTGGTATAACATTTTGTTTTTATCGACGTATCACATCACGATTTTAGTTTTAGGCTTAAATCACTAATTGTTTTAAAGCGTCTTATAAATATATATAGATAGAGACTTTTAAAACAATATCATGAAAATTAAAATGTTTTAAAATAAATAATTGAATTGCTGGCAATCTCGCAAAGACTGAAGGAGGCCAAAACGTATGTTTATAAGCGTAACAGTTCGTTGACCGGCTGACCCGCTCGTTGATGACTCTGGTAACTCTTAAGACTTAATCACCAAAGTACGAATAGCTCTTCCTTTACTCCGCATCATGTTTAAAATCGATCACGGGGAAATGTGCGTCCGTGGTGTCACATCATTTCCCGTGCCGATCCATCTGGGTCATTTTGCCACGCGAAGAATTCTTGAGTAAGGCGGATAAGTTTTGATACCAGCTTCTCAAACTGTGGTAAAGTCTTTTGCCTTGCTTGGGTTGGTGGCGCCCGGGACCGGTCAAGATATTTGCCGCCCTGCACGAAAAAAAAAGAAAAACTGCAGTTGGCCGAAAATGCCAACCATCCATATAAAGAAAACAGTGCCGCCTGGGCTGGGCCGCTGCCTCCGCACACCCCCCCCCCAACCCGTTTCCTACGCCACTGGTTGTGAATTATATTTGTTCCTGTTGTACAAAGAGATTTAACAAAAATACATTTTTTGACATCCAGTCTGTTCTTTGCTGGCATCCGTCTGCCACAATGTATCACAAGGCCTGGAGATGTTTCTTCAGGAGAATAAGCTGGTTCCCCAAAAATCAAATCACCTCTTGTTATGTGGATACTTCCAAGAAAACATCATATGGGGATGATACAGCTTGGCACCAGTATCGTCGCAGGAGTTGCCGGAATTTCAATTGCGTCAATGTTATCCGCCTACGGAACTCCATCTCCGGGTTTGAAGTCAGAGGCATCCTTCTCATTGAGGAGTTTCCGAACAAGGTTAACGAGTCCCATCCACCTGGAGTGGTGGGGGATGCTTTTGCTTGTATGGGCCCGCCACTCAGCAACCAGTGTATTACAACATATCAAATTCCAATAATGAACATAGTCGTGGTAAATATTTTTCAAAACGTTTGAGAAGCACGGTTCTAGATAACACCGCAAAGTGAAGTGGCCAAAAACGCATGTATTGTATCTGATGAGGACGCATGAAGAGCATCACGTGAAGACAATATCCTCATAATCTCTAACAACAAGACTGTGACACGCGTTTTTTTTTTTTTTTTATAAAGTAAACTTACTTTTGTTATAGTCAGAGGCGACATGAGTTTTGAAATGATATCTCACACTTGGAATAAAAAAATATCATTGCTTTTCAACTTTTTATTTTATTTCGCTGCACCAGAGGTAGGCAAACTTGTTTTTATGCGGAGGGCAACCTTGACAAATGTAAAGCTATTCGTGGGGCAACATGTATATTATGTCAAATTTTTACATGTCAATAAAGATTTCTCTCTATATTAAAATAGGTAAATTCGCATTTTAGTTTTAGCATTATTTGACAAAAGTTAAGGACTGTTAAAAAAATAGAAAATTTGAAAGAAAGTTGATCAAAAATGTTAAAAGAATCACAACGGTTAATGAAATTCTGAAAAATTCAACAAATTAACATTTAAACAATATTTTTTTAAATTTCTATATGCCTTCGATTTCCGCATAATATCGGTTGCTGGGCCTCATGCGCCCCGCGGGCCGTGTTTTGCCCACCTATGAGATGCACAAACAAAAACGAATTCAGTCAGTTTTCGACTCAGCTTATAAGTATAAATGTTAACCATTCTTTTTGGGAGCTGTCGCCAAACACATTTTAATAATTATACGTTTAAATGAGATATTCTAGAGGTGCCATGTAACATAACATGGCCTTTTATTTTGTTTTTAAAATACACGAAATAATTTTCTATATTACGAGATTCAACCGTTACTTTTAAATCTTGCTCTAGCGTCAAGTGGCTGCGAAACTCCAGTTTCCTGTTTAAAAATAGTCCATAAATTTACGGCCAATCCTTTAAATTTTTTTCCAAATAGACTTTCACAGAAGTCTTTAAGAACATTAAGGTGCCCGTTACAATCTCTGATATTATCAAGGATTTTAAATCTAAACTAAACAGCAATTTTCCGCGTTTGTAAATTGTTCTTGCTTTCCTTCAACATTATAATCATAGTGAGCACTAAATTCACCACTTCCGAGAATGTGATACCGTAAATTAACTCTGCTTATAGCAGTTTCGTGAAATGACGTACATTGATATACTTGATAGAGACATCACGGGTATTTAATTCGCTTTTTAGCTCCATAGTTTTGACAAATGTATATTAAAATTCCGTTTTAAAAAAAATGTGTGAAGATTTAACATATTTGTTATGAAAATTTAAATACATTGATTTTCGCAAACCCTGTCCGGTAAGTCAACCCCAGCTTGAACCCAATGAACTGGTTTCATTGAATGGAGTGTCTTCGTTTACAAGTAGCGAACTTTGGCTCGATATCTACCTTTTTTTTTAACCTTGTGTCCATGTTTCGTAAATAAGATATTGTCAGTGTGAAATTAGGTGTGGGGAGTGGGGGGGGGGGGCTAGTATTGTCAAGCACAATGTTATTTTGTATGTCGTCGGTCCTTTCAATTTTTTGTAAACCTTGTGATTGGTTGGGGGGGGGGAGTGGTGGTGGGGGCTAGTATTGTCAAGCACAATGTTATTTTGTATGTCGTCGGTCCTTTCAATTTTTTGTAAACCTTGTGATTGGTTGGGAGGGGGGGGGGATTATGCCATATGTACCATTTTATGGTGTGTGCTTCGTATTTAATTTTCACTCTTTTTAATTCTCACCTCTTTTCACCCCTAGTGCCATACTATCATATTAGAGCCCACTTGTCATGCTTCTGCGTTTTTGTTCAATGTTCTTCATACGTGGCTGTCGTTTCTTAAAATGGGACTGTGAGGATGGGGGAGGGGGGGGGGTGGCGATACGCCATCGACTTAGCCAAACTGCTTATCTGATTGTTTTCATACATGATATTAACCCCGTGACAATGAACATGAATACAGGTCAGCATTCTGCAATGCTTCTATTTATAGCCCATTAAACTCTCTTTTTAAAACTGTAGAGACGTTTGTCAAGGTAACTAGTGTGTTAAGTTATTTTTAGGGCTGCGTTCGAACATCTGGGAATTCCACCATGAATGGATTTAACAAACAAAAACTATCCTCTCCCACTAATAAAATTATAAAAAGAATACATGTATATAGATTTAATTTTTTTAAAATAATTTTAAAATACATATGACGTCATTCTTAAGTAGTTCACAATGATTTTGTTGCATATTTCTAGTTTATGTTGTGGGATATTGTACTGATAGTTCTGTATATAATCACACTTTAGACTGTAGGCTTTTTTGTAAATAAGCTTATTTTAATTAGTATGCCTTTGTATACTCTGTGTCACATGGTTTAATATATATAAAAAAAGACTTGACGCCTGCAATCAACACCCTATCCTGCCAGTTTCAACCTGACGGAGTCAGTCTCTCCGATCCCAGGAACTGCTCAAATTTCATCAAGTGAGTACTTCGTAATGGTCTTCTTGTGTTGTGATACATGATCAGAAGTTATAGCTGGGCACAGTGTATAAAAAAAAAACAGCATCTAAACAGAGACATTAAACACATTTCATCAAGGAAACTGCAGGAACCATTGTTTCAACTACTAAACGTAGCGTCAGTAGCCTCCTGTACAAGTATATTTATAGAAATGATTGTATTTTTACATCTTTCTTTTTTTTTTTTGATAAAGGCATAGGACGAAAAGTTTACATAATTTGTAGTCTGTGTAATCATTATTAAAGCTGAGCCTATATTGTTTCATTTTAAAAAAAAATGTGTTTGTGTCTCACTAAGCACAAACACATCTTATACTTGTTAACTCATTTACAATAGATTCACAATCCACTGCTCAAACTATTTATTTGATGTGGAACGACTGGTCATAAATAAATAAACATGCCTCAAGTTTGTTGATTTAATCAGTTGTTTTTTTTTAATAAACGATTCAAGCTGCCTACATGTGTGCCTATCAAAATCTGCCCTTCAAATCGTTCCAGGTGTGTCAATGGCCAGGCAGTTCCACGGAGCTGTCCAGCAGGACAGTACTACAACTCATTGATATATCAGTGCGACTTCTCTTCAATAAAATGGTGCTTGATCACAAGGGTGAGTCTGTATACCAAAAAAATACAATTTAATAAATGAATTACATGCAAGAACAAATGTGTGGTTTATACTAAGAACTCATAATCTTTCTATCAATAGGATAGTAGCGATAAAGGTAAATGAAGTGCAGCTGTTTTCCAGTTCACATGTTGAAATATTGCATTCAGACATTAAATAACATGTATGCAGAACAATAAAAATGATATTTTTTTAAATATGTCTTCATCATTTTATTCCATGTATAGGAGGATCACGGACGAGGCAGTGCTCGTAAATTAAAGAACAGAAAAATTCATAATCTAAAAATTGCCCATACCGCTCTAAACAAGAGCTCTACACCGGATCCCAGACGGTTGTCCAAGAATAAAAAGACACCATCATTCGGCGCACCGCTTTTGTTTACAAAGTCAACGACGCTGGTCACGTCATCCCCAATAGCACCCTGGAAAATCAAGAATTTAAATGTGAATACCAGTAGAGACCGAAAACTTCACTTTCTACTTACAAATAACCAAACGAATATCAAATACAGAGAGGAATTCCCGGCCAGGTGGGCAAGTGACTATAAAAAGTTATTGGCGAAGAACAATTCAAAACACGTGACTGGACAGAGGGACGGACTCAGCAGATTTAAGGGAAGTGACTTACGTAAGCCAGGAGCCTTGAAACCAGATAGTCAGAGGAGTAGATCTCGCAATATCGGAATCTTAGTCAATAGTAGTAAGATTACCGGCCAGCGTCAGCTAAAGGGAGGGAAACAAGACATCTTGTATTTGAAAACTGGCGATGTTGAAACAAAGGGAAGACAACCGGCATCACTCCCTGCCTTGAAATGGTTTGTTGTCGGTAATGTTCGTGGGAACAGAAGACGGGTCTTGAGAATCAACAAAAATCAAACCGCCGAGAATAATTTAAAGAAATTCAACGATGACAATTTACTAAACCAGCATCTCATTTGGTTCACAAAACCTAAACAAGACGGAAACCTTAAGAGCAGCACAAGTTCCTCCATCAGAGACGCATTGAAAGACAGTGTTCTAAAGCAAAGACTACTCGCGTTGAAGCAAAAAAAGACGAACTCTCGCCCAATTTCAACCAGCAGGGTAAAAAGTTTGCCGGCTGGTAGCCTCAAATCGACCCTCCCGACAACTCTGGCAAAAATCGCAACCCAGCAAGTCACGACCGCAGCGCCCCGACACCGAGACCTGGCGGGGAAGATGCTCGTCTGCTACTACACCAACTGGGCGCAGTACCGCCAGGGCGCCGCGAAGTATCTGCCCGAGGACATCGACCCGAACCTCTGCACCCACATCCACTACGCCTTCGCCAAGCTGAACGAGAGCAGTGAGTTGGCTCCCTTTGAATGGAATGACGAGAGCACGCCGTGGAGTGTGGGGATGTGAGTTATGTTTGTTTGGCACATTCTCGGCTTTAGGTTTCAACACGGACGAGCCTACCTGTGTCACTTTCTTCAACGTTTTGCAAAGACGGGCTTCCCGGTCTTTTGTTGTTGTTGTTGTTGTTGCTTTAAACAGGGGCGTGATTCAGGGCCGGTATGTTTCTTTAATTAAATTTTTAAAGATATTTATCGATTGTCTTTCTTGGACCATCAGGATTTTTTTTAAAAACTAATCCTATGAATAGTTGTGGTTTGAACAAATAGAGTGGCATGAGCTCATTTCAGCCGCTTCAAATGCAGCACACACTCATGTCTCTGTTTCAGCCGCTTCAAATGCAGCACACAATCATGTCTCTGTTTCAGCCGCTTCAAATGCAGCACATACTCATGTCTCTGTTTCAGCCGCTTCAAATGCAGCACACACTCATGTCTCTGTTTCAGCCGCTTCAAATGCAGCACACACTCATGTCTCTGTTTCAGCCGCTTCAAATGCAGCACACACTCATATCTCTGTTTCAGCCGCTTCAAATGCAGCACACACTCATGTCTCTATTTCAGCCGCTTCAAATGCAGCACACACTCATGTCTCTATTTCAGCCGCTTCAAATGCAGCACACACTGATGTCTCTATTTCAGCCGCTTCAAATGCAGCACACACTCATGTCTCTGTTCACAAAATATAGTAAAATGCTGACTGGGTTCTTTGTTAAAACCACGATTAAAAAAAAAAAGCTAACGTTTTCAGAAATTAAAATTATTATTTTTATTTCAATAATTTATAAACTAGGTTTATTTGCCGACAATTGAAAATGAGACGAAGATAAGCACGTCCTGACCAGTTACCTTGAACTGTGACCTTATTTTCTGACATTGTGCAGAAATGTATCAAAATGAAAAACATCGGTACTCTCTAAACCAGTTTTTTTACAATCCAAGAAATATTGTAAAGTAAATTTAATCGAGAGTTTGCGCTACCACATAGAAAGAACAAAAAATTCTTAGGGTTGTGAAAAACTCGGAGGTAAATTTAGAGCATCTAATTTAGGCATTAATAGTACCCATGAGAGCGTTTTAGAAAAAAGATCTAGAAAAGTTAACTTTCTCAACAGGTACGACAGAGTTAACGAAGTCAAGAAGAAGAACCCAAACCTTCAAGTTCTTCTGTCTCTGGGTGGCTGGACCATGTCATCCCCTCCATTCTCAACGATGGTGGCGACAGATGAGAGGCGACGGACTTTCATACAGGTACAGATAGTTCAATTGGTAAAGACAACCTGCGCCCCGCGGGCCACACGCGGCCGTTGTAAACGTTGAAACGGGCCCCTTTGGTTTCATGAACTGGATTTACGTTGTCGTCAAGTGTAAACACTGAGAATGCTGAACTAGAAACGCCTTTGATAAATAATAATGGCAGCGTTCAATTTTTACACTGTAATAAGAACAATCTTATTTTAATCCATCCTGTGACTCATTAAAAATGTGTTTAATTTATTGTACAGAACGCTCAGTGCGGATTACCCTATGGGCTAAGTAGGGTTAAGCTTAGGGTTTCTAACAACTAAAGAGGTTCAATTTAAAAAAAAAATATATATATATATATAGATTCCATCCATTGATTTAAAATAGGTAGCATTTTTATTTTAAATACTGCAATACGAGCAAAAAAAAATATTAAAAAACATGGGTAAAAAGTGCAAAATGTATTTCATGCACTCACCACTATTTAAATTGAATCGGTCGTTCCTCTGTTAATCGTCGTCTTCAAGCCGTGGGGAGTTTGGAAGTGCACATGCAAAAGCTAAGGAGGCTAATGCTTTGGAAAGCTACAGTGCTATCACTGATGACTATACACGTATACTGGGATGTTAATGGAAAAGGGTAATGTCAGACTTCAAGTCAGCGCTCTTTTTCCAGAAAATGGAAGTGTTTGGGATTTAGGCTTAGTGTAGTAGCACTTTGGCATATACATAAATCAGAACTGCTATTGGGAACATGTGCACATTTTTATAATTCACTTTAAGAATTTAATAACGAAATCACAGAATTTGATGAGCTTGACACTCAGTGGGCTTTTTTTTCTTGTTTCTTTCAGTTATTTATAAAACTAAATTCTGAAACAAACTATTTAGTCTAATCTTTTATCTTCTTCTGTCCGCTTATATCGGTGATGCGTCGCGGGTACTGTTAAAGGATAATTCATATATTTAGTAGTATTTAGTGATCCACTTTCAGGTACACACTGCGTTCTTTAAAAAAAAAAAATTCCATGTTTTATCAAGTACCTTTATAAAAACAATAATTGGTAATAGATATGAATAATATAACCTTTATAGAAACAATAATTGGTATTAGATTTGAATAATATAACCACAGTATACCAACATGTGTGTGTTTGAGTGTAAAAGTAATTGAAATGGTTTTTTTTTGTTTTTTTAAAGTTGTTGTTAAATTAATATTTTTTTTTAAGGTGGGGGATGGGGGCCGAGAGAGATTGTAAGGAGCCTCAAAATATAATCAGCCTAGTGCCTAGGGCCTTCAGTTCGCTAAATCCGGCGGTTAGAGCGGGGAACGCTAGGGTCCTATAGAGGTCCTATCCAGCCCGCATGAAAGAAAAACATTTCCACGCGGGCCTCACCGCACATAGAGGGTTTCCCAATCCTGGCATAGCAATGATTTAATTTGTCATCCTCTCAAACTACTGTACGTTTATATCTTTCTTAGTCAGCTTTAGTCTTTTTACGTCGGTGGAATTTTGACGGCATTGACCTTGACTGGGAATACCCTGCAGATCGGGGGAGCCCGCCAGAGGACAAGCAACGGTTCACAATCCTAGCTCAGGTAAGTCGTGTGGTGCTCGATATATATAGGTATGCCATACAGGAGTCTAGGTTATTTATGTTGTAATCTAGTTAAACTACTAAATATTGATGACTTTGTAAACCATGTAGCGGTTTAGGAAGGCCACGTAGTATACTAAATATTACATTAAAAAGTGAAGAGACTCTGAAAGATTGATATCATATACACAGGAAATTATGGATGCCTTTAAAGCTGAAAGTGTACATTCAGGAAAGCCGAGATTGCTGCTGTCAGCTGCTGTTTCTGCTGGTAAACCAACGATCGACGATGCGTATGAGGTCCCTGAAATTTCCCAGTAAGTAATAGTTTTGTTGTAATTTACCATCTATCTCCTTCATAAAGTAAAGTTTTCATTGTTTGGTTTCATGGACCAAAAACGTTCATTGAAATGAAAGAAAGGTTCACAATGCCATCTTCAAATTGTCACCTACAAACCCTCATTAGCTTGTAGTCCTTAAATACCACCAGTAGCTTGTAGTCCATAATACCACCAGTAGCGTGTCGTCCTAAAATACCATCATTAGCTTGTAGTCCTTAAATACCACCAGTAGCTTGTAGTCCTTAAATAACATCAGTAGCTTGTAGTCCTTAAATACCATCAGTAGCTTGTAGTCCTTAAATACCATCAGTAGCTTGTAGTCCTTAAATACCATCAGTAGCTTGTAGTCCTTAAATACCACCAGTAGCTTGTAGTCCTTAAATACCATCAGTAGCTTGTAGTCCTTAAATACCATCAGTAGCTTGTAGTCCTTAAATACCATCAGTAGCTCGTAGTCCTTAAATACCACCAGTAGCTTGTAGTCCTTAAATACCATCAGTAGCTTGTAGTCCTTAAATACCATCAGTAGCTTGTAGTCCTTAAATACCACCAGTAGCTTGTGGTCCTTAAATACCATCAGTAGCTTGTAGTCCTTACATATCATCAGTAGCTTGTAGTCCTTAAATACCATCAGTAGCTTGTAGTCCTTAAATACCACCAGTAGCTTGTAGTCCTTAAATACCATCAGTAGCTTGTAGTCCTTAAATACCATCAGTAGCTTGTAGTCCTTAAATACCATCAGTAGCTCGTAGTCCTTAAATACCACCAGTAGCTTGTAGTCCTTAAATACCATCAGTAGCTTGTAGTCCTTAAATACCATCAGTAGCTTGTAGTCCTTAAATACCACCAGTAGCTTGTGGTCCTTAAATACCATCAGTAGCTTGTAGTCCTTACATATCATCAGTAGCTTGTAGTCCTTAAATACCATCAGTAGCTTGTAGTCCTTAAATACCACCAGTAGCTTGTAGTCCTTAAATACCATCAGTAGCTTGTAGTCCTTAAATACCATCAGTAGCTTGTAGTCCTTAAATACCACCAGTAGCTTGTAGTCCTTAAATACTACCAGTAGCTTGTAGTCCTTAAATACCATCAGTAGCTTGTAGTCCTTAAATACCATCAGTAGCTTGTAGTCCTTAAATACCATCAGTAGCTTGTAGTCCTTAAATACCACCAGTAGCTTGTAGTCCTTAAATACCATCAGTAGCTTGTAGTCCTTAAATACCACCAGTAGCTTGTAGTCCTTAAATACCACCACTAGCTTGTAGTCCTTTAATACCACCAGTAGCTTGTAGTCCTTAAATACCATTCTAGAGGTTGTGACACAATTTTTTTAGATTTTAGTTTTAGTCCACATGATATTATTTTTTTTTTTTACTCTCCACTTCACATTTGAACACGTGTCTGCAGATGCATGTCACACATAGCAACGGTCTCCAGATGTACGGCACACATAGCAACTGTCTCCAGATGTATAGTACACATAGAAATTGGTCTTCCTTTTTCTTTCCTTTCTTCAGAATATTTGACTACATTAATTTGATGAGCTACGACTTCTACGGCAGCTGGGACACGGTCACCGGACACGTTAGTCCACTGTACCCGCCCAGTGATCCTCAAGATGAGAGGGACAGGACTTACAATCTGGTAAACTAGAATGTGACCATTTCTGTATACAGATTTGGTTTAAATTTGATAATGTTGCGATGTGGAAGAAACAATGACATGCACCTTTTTATGTCAATGGGATTGTAATTATATTTATTTTTTTTTAAAAAAAGAGTTTGTTTTTTTTGCGAGTTAATAAAACATCACATAAAACTTTTGCAATGTAACTGTGAAAGTAAAAAATAGGGCCCTTCCCCATTTAAAAAGTTCGCTGTTGGTCGACAACGGTTCCCAATCCTGGCAAAACCTCAATATATAAAAAGAAAATGGACAGCCCTTTCAGCACCCCCATTCCTACGCTAGTGGTAGGACCATGCTGTAATAGAGGCGAGACAAATAAAAAGTAGTTTTTTTTTTGTTTTTTTTTTTGTTTTATTTGCTCAAACTTGACTAAAATTCTTTAAATTTGTTAATAAAAATGATAAACAATTAATATTATCCGGATTAAAATTATCAAAATTCGTTTTTTTTTTTTTTTTTTTTTTTTTTTTTTAAATAAAAAACATTCACATCCAAAAGTATTTTAAAGGATTAACTTATTATTGACCTCAGTGGGGGCAGAATGCCTTTCAGTAAAGTAAAAATGCTGATCTTCATGTAACAATTACACAACATGTCAGAATAATTTTCCAGTTTTTTGCTGCAACCTACTGGGTGAGCCTGGGGTGTCCACCCGAGAAGCTTGTGATTGGCCTAATTACTTACGGCAGATCATTTACACTCAGTGACCCGAATGTGTCTGGACTGAAGGCGCCAGTGACCGGCCCTGGACAGCCGGGAATGTACACGGGAGAAGCCGGTTTTCTTTCATTCTACGAGGTAAAACAAAAGACAAACCGCTACGGTTGGACTATGTTCTCGTAATAATAAATACATTTTGTTCACTTGTTTCAAGATAAAACTTAAAGCTCAAATTGTTTATATGGACCACTGCGATGGAGATTATATTATGAAGATTCTCTGTACATTTGATGCTTAATTTCTTTATTTTTCATTTACAAAATCAGTAAAGCCTTTAAGAGATTTTGTCAAAACCTCATTTTTTTTTGTATTTAGTAAATCCAGAGACAGCTGGCTATCTTACAGTCTACTTAATACATGTTTTACTAAATAAAATGTCAGGTGTACAAAATGATAGAACAAGGCGCCAAAGTGAACAGACTGGCGGAGGAGAAGGTTCCTTACCTAGTGTTAAACAGCCAGTGGGTCGGCTACGAAGATCAGGAAAGCCTCAAAACAAAGGTATGTGGTCAGATCACAACGTATGCATATAAATATACCGGGGGGGGGGGGGAGAAGGGTGGGAAGGGGCAAAAATTTTAATTGCAAAATTTTTTTTTTTGTTTTTTTAAAATTTATCACAACGTAGGCGTATAAGTATACCGGGGGGGGGGGTAGAAGGTTGGAACGGGTCAACAATTTCAATTGCAAACTTTATTTGTTGTTATTTTAAAACTTCTGTATGTACAAATTGTTAATTATTTGTTGTGTTAATAATTCATTGGAACAAAATATGGGGAAATGGACAAATAAATGACATAAATTTTTACTGAGTTACTGATGGACTCACTTACCGACTCACTGACGACGGACTGACCCGCTGACTCACTCACTGACGACTGACTGACCCACTGACTCCCTCACAGTTTGACTCAATCACTGACCAACGCGATGAATGACCGACTGACTGACTGAACGACTGACTGACTGACCGACTGACCGACTGACATAATGACTGACTAACTGGCTGCTCGACTGACTGCCCGACTGACTGCCCGACTGACTGCCTGACTGACTGCCCGACTGACTGACATAATGATTCACTTACTGACTGACTGACCAACTTACTGACTGACATAATTACCCTCTAACTGACTTACTGACGGACTGAATGACCGATAAATTGACTGACATCCTAAATGATATAATGACTCACTTACTAACTGAATAACCGACTGACTGACTGACATAATGACTCACTAACTGACTGACTAACTGACTGCTCGACTGACTGGCATAATTACTCACTTACTGACTGACTGACTGACACCCTGACTGACATAATGTCTCACTTACAGACTGACGGATCGACCGACTGACTGATCGAATAACTTACTGACCGACACTTCCACCGTTCACTCCAAGGTCCAGTTCATCAAAGACAAGAAGTTTGCCGGCGCCATGGTCTGGGACCTTGACCTTGATGATTTCAACAACACGTTCTGTGGCCTGGGCCGATACCCACTTATACAAACTATTCATGACAGTTTGCTCAGCTAACCATTGAAACCATATTTGTAATCACGTATTAGTTCGTTCGTGTTAATGTTTATATCTTAGAGCACTAATGTCCAGAGACCTTTTCTCATTGTTACTGTGTGCCTTACGAACACATTGATTAGATGTCGTTGTAACACATTTGGTCTAGAGTAGCGGTTCTCAACCTGTAAGTCAGGACCCCTTTGGGGTCGAACGACCCTTGCACAGGGGTCGCCTCAGATCATCGGAAAACACATTTACTCTACAGTTATGAAGTACCAGTGAAAATAATATTGTGGCTGGGGGGGTCACCACAACATGTGGAACTGTATTAAAGGGTCGCGGCATTAGGAAGGTTGAGGACCACCGGTCTAGAGTGATTTGTGATTTGAGAAAGTAATACTTTGATGAAGATCTTAAGAAGTGGAATAAATGAACCAAATAATCAGATATATGGCCGTGTTGAGTTGAAATGAACAGAAGTGCTGCAAAGTTTTATTTTTTTTAAATTTTTATTTAGAAAAGAAAATTTGGAGTTAAGAAAACATTCCAATATAACATTACAATATAACATTACAATATAACATTACAATATAACATTACAATATAACATTACAATATTACTTTGGCAATATAACAGTGAACGTAAACAAATAAATCCCCTCCCTATGTTAATGAAACAGCCGTTTTTTAACAAATAATCTATCCCCGTATGGAAAAGAAATAAATAAATAAACGTAGAAAGTTTGCATATTGACTTTCAGGCCCCTAACTCTAACTACTATTTTGTGAGCTTATGTAGCCGTAGTTGGTGATTGGTTGATGGCACAATTTGAACCCTGCTCGTAGCGCCAAACACCACGGAAGCGTGCAGTCTGAAAGCTGACCGCTTTAAATAGTATTGAGCTATTAAATTTTTACGAATGGTGCGCCACCTACAACGTTTGATCAACTTCTTGAATTCAATAGGATAATAATGTGTTGATCATGCTGTTTTAACATTGGAATATTGTTTTCTTTTTCATTTGTATTTGGCTCTTTTTTTCCAGGTGTCAATGCTAAATAAATTAATAATAAAGTATTACACACCTTAATTACTTTACACTAAAGTAAGACAAGTTTATGGAGGATTAAGATGCAACTTTTAGGTGGGTAAAGATCAGTGGTTTTGGGGACAACGTCATGTTGAGAGTTTCTTTTCAAACCCTTAAGATTCGAGCTGGAAAGGGTAGGTTGTAGCAATGAAAGAAGAAAATTACGGTAATTAGTAAAGCACTTACCGATATTTTAGAAAAAATAAAACTTGCTACCAGGAAAGCCGATAAACTGGAAAGCCTAAATTTAAAAAGGACATGAGTCTGTGGTTTCTATTAATTGATTTTTGGTGAAAAACGTCAGATTTGACGGCACTGTCATTGTGCAGTTTGCAATGACTTATTTGTTGCTTCGTGGCGTCATAAAATACAAGAAAATTTCGACTTCTGTAGCTTCCTCGGGTATAGCGTTCAGCAACGTGTATAGCAACTTTGTTGGGTGGTGGAAAAGACTGCTCCATGGCTGACAACAAGATGATTGTTTGCGATGACTGCACCATATCTGACAACAAGATGATTGTTGGCGATGACTGCACCACGTCTGACAACAAGATGATTGTTTGCGATGACTGCACCATGTCTGACAACAAGATGATTGTTTGCGATGACTGCACCATGTCTGACAACAAGATGATTGCTGGCAATGACTGCACCATGTCCGGCAACAGGGGAATAGAAACATTGACAAAACTCCTCAGGATATCCGGAGACGTAAAGGTCTTGTGGGTGGGATAAGTATGCTTCCAGCCGGTAACCTCAGCCCGACATACTACCCGCATTTCTTCGGGAACGACTGTTGATGAAGTCAACGTCTGACTTAAGTCATCTCACCTATGGCCTTAAGTCCAAATTTGATGGCAGCGACTCAACAAGAGGTTCATCTCAAAATTGAATTAAAGTCAGAGTATTTATCAAACTTTCTTCTCTAAATAGAATATTTGGGATATGTGGCGATGCACGGTTTCTCAGCAAGTATTGTCTACTGCAAGTATTGTCTACAGCAAGTATTGTCTACAGCAAGTATTGTCTACAGCAAGTATTGTCTACAGCAAGTATTGTCTATAGCAAGTATTGTCTACAGCAAGTATTGTCTACACCAAGAATTGTTTATAGCAAGTATTGTCTACAGCAAGTATTGTTTATAGCAAGTATTGTCTACAGCAAGTATTGTCTCCAGCAAGTATTGTCTATAGCAAGTATTGTCTATAGCAAGTATTGTTTATAGCAAGTATTGTCTACAGCAAGTATTGTCTCCAGCAAGTATTGTTCATAGCAAATATTGTCTACAGCAAGTATTGTTCATAGCAAGTATTGTCTACAGCAAATATTGTCTATAGCAAGTATTGTTTATAGCAAGTATTTTCTACAGCAAGTATTGTTTATAGCAAGTATTGTCTCCACCAAGTATTGTCTATGGCAAGTATTGTCTACAGCAAGTATTGTCTACAGCAAGTATTGTCTCCACCAAGTATTGTCTATAGCAAGTATTGTCTACAGCAAGTATTGTGTACCGCAAGTATTGTCTCCACCAAGTATTGTCTATAGCAAGTATTGTCTACAGCAAGTATTGTCTACAGCAAGTATTGTCTCCAGCAAGTATTGTCTATAGCTCTAAAACATTTTAACTCTAACTTAATTGTAAACAAAAAAAGATGAACCTACAAACGGAAGGGTCTGATTCAAAGATTAAGATACATTAAAATGTTTTCAATGATTCATAAAGGTGAAAACGTTTTGTTATTTTGTTACCGTGACAATACGTTGGTTCATGTGTTGTTTTAACCAGTGCAGCAATCTTTTTGGACGATTTCACGCCAAGCATTAAGAAATAGGATAATACTTCTTTTTTTCTTTTTAATGAACCATTTCAATGCGTCAAATATTTTTGTAATGGTCTTAATTTTACGTCGGAATATTTTTTGTTTGTTTTCAAATTACTTTATCAAAATATTTATCATTTAAGGTGGAAAATTATGAAGTATTATAATAGTCAAATTTAATCAGCTAAACAATTTTAACTGAAAAATATCAATAGTGGCCATCTTTTCGTTTCAAGCATAAACATATCCTGTACCACTATCCATTAACTTCAAACAACCTGAGCTGAGTTCCTCAGGTATTAAAAATATCAACACACAAGATCAAAGACAAATTAGAGATGTTTTTGATCATTCTAGAACACAAAAACGAGACCCCGAGGTGATTAGACTGGAATGAGTCAGCCTCACGATGATTGTTTTAACAAACAGAAGTCTATGGAACACCTGATATAGTTCTATCAGGCCGGAATTACCACCACCCCCCCCCCTCTCCCCGTAGGTTGCGGATTTTCCATTCAACCGCAGAAAGTCATAATTTATCATTGATGATCAAAAGAACTCCGTTATGGTATCTTTCATTTCTATTATATGTAATACTAATCTATCTAGGCCGGGCAAAAGTGTTATAGCCCGTTATTTCTCTGAACTTCTTAGTACAAAAGTAAATAAATCCAAGTAGTTACGGAAACAAACACGATTTCTCTTTAAAGGTCTGAAGATTTATGGGATAGAAGATTATCTCAATTCACACAAATTATGTGTCATTTCTCATGTCCCATTTCACTCAGTGTATAAAGGGTTCGTGTACTGAGTGATGGAGCCCTACCGTTCGTGGTTGTGTGTACAGCTTGGTGGTCAACTTGATATAAATTCATGCTTTACTGGTACAAGTTGTACATATATTCCAGTCAGACTTAATGAATCGCAACAACAAAAAAAAACAAAACAAACAAACAAAATTAATTTGCAGGAATTTCGAGACGATTTTTAAGATCTGTCAAACGATTAATCATTTATCTGTCCCATTTAAAAAAAATTGATTTAATTTACTTTTCGATTCCGTGGAAACTGTGGTTTTAAAAATGCATCAACAAAAAATGTGAAGATGAAACAACTGACGCGTCTACTGTTCTTTAGTTTCGTGTCACTACTGAGTCGGGTGGTCACAGTGTTGAAATGTGATGTCTCTACACATTATGACCTCTCAGCCGGACCCCGGGAGATTATCTCAGGTCACGGCTGTCACACTTCATACAATGATAACACTCTATTCTCAGAAAAATGTGACAATCACACTTGTGACGATCGCAGATGTGACAGGCAGACACACGCACATATGCATAACTTTACCTCTGAAATGGTGTTTTTCTCGCACTGCCACAAATCAAATGCCACCACTGAGCGTTCTTCAATATGTTGTGCAGCGTTAGTAAAACACTGTGAATGTTTTGGTGAAGCCACGACACACAGGCCGGTTTCGCCAACGGCATATTCTACGTGTCTGTGTGATGAGCAAGAGCTGGCGGTAACTGTTCGGGTGAAGCAGACGTGCTTTTATCGAGATGTCTCAAACGACACAGAAACCCTTACTGTCAAGTGTACGGCACATTACAGTTGTAAGTGTAAGATCGAACGTCCTCGGGGCATCGGCACTTCCATACCTCGTGCCCAAGACCCCTTTGGTACGCAAAAATACAAGGATCCTGCCGCAAAAGAGAGCAGTCCCTTGTCTGAGTGCGTAGATACTATCTTATCGAGGCATACATTTACGAGACGCGAACTTTTCAATCAATCGGAAGGCGTATCGTTAAGGAAGCTGAATTCAAACACAGGAGGATATCGTCGAAGCGCAGTGGTCACACAGGAATACGCCCCTGACGGTTCGGAGGAAAAAGAATCCGCCGCATCTTCAATCTCAGACAAAGTGATGGACATGTGCGACACGGCTGTCCGTAAACTGTCCTTCATGCTCCTTACTGACGGGCCACGCAGGATTGCCATTTCTTGTGTTTCTGTGGAAAACAGGCTCGGCACCAACAAGAGTGCATCTGTTTGTTCCGCGTGGATGGCATCGCTGGTTCGCAATCTGCCTTTATTTTACTACTACAGCGTAGCACGACTTGACGTCGATCACCTTCGGGCGTTACGTTTCGGAGAAAACCCCGAAATGAACTGTCAGTGGCATTTTGTGGTGAACGCAGCGGTTAGACTCGGTGTTACGCACCTGATGCCGTACAACTACGCTAAGTTCCTGCCGTGGCTAAGCGCTTCATGCGACCTGAATTCGACTTGCAAAATTCTATCTTGCAACACAATTGCAAACTTCGCCATGAAAGAGGATAATAAATGTAAACTAACAAACGTTTTGAGGCTGAAAATTTCGGTCAGCCATTCCAAGATGTCCCTCGTGGAACACAATGAAATTGCGCACGCCATAAACTGTTTCTTGGATCACCAGCTGCTACTTGACGTCACGAATCAATGGTGGCCCGCGGAGGAGCAACTGGATGATCAGGCACCAGATACGTATCACTATTTGTTCAGCCTTGTGGTTTACAACATAGGGCATCCAGAAATGCCGCATACGGATTATATCTTGAATGACGTTGTTTCAAAACTGAGCTCAGTCGACTTGACGTCCGTTCTTTTTTTAAAGGGCAAAGCGAGAGATTGCGACAGTGAGAAACATGACAAGAGCATTGAATCTCAGAATGTGCAAATGAACGCTCGGGCTACGATTTCCATGGTGTCTTTCGGTTGTGTGTACGTACTGCCGGAAAAGGCAACTCATGTACGCTCTGAAGAGTTGACGAACACGATTCCTATTGAGAAGTACACACCGTGTACGCCAAACACGTTCGGCCGTCGCCCTACGATGTCAACACAACGTTAAGTTGGCATCCATCAAAGTGTGTTGGGTTGCTCCATACCCACCCAGCCGTCGGCAGCGGGACTTGGATTGCCGGCACTGTTCATAATGGGATACACTCGATTGAAATGTATCTTATCCTATATGTTGCTTTTGCTGGTTAAATAA